CACTTGACTGCACCGAGACACCAGCAGACGCCAGTGCTGCCTTCTGGAGTTCACGGCATGTTTTGAACTTTGACAAAAGGCAAGGTCATGACAGAGGAAAGACAGAAGATAGAAATGAAAATATCTTTAGTTCGTCTGGCTTTTCGGCTATACGTGTTGATGGCTCCAGTCCATGAATATTCACTTAGTTTCTTTTAATAAACAGCAGCTTTCCCTGCTGCACAGCCCAGGTGGGTAGATGTTGTGGCAGGACTGGCTGGCTGGTTTTCAATGGAAAGTCACTGCAGGATTGCTTCTTGAAGGCTTCGGGTTTGTTTTCTTCATCTCACTTCAGGTAATTCCCCAAAATCAATATCTGGGACTGGGCTTTGAGCCTTCAGTATAGACAGGCAGGATCCTCCAGTGGTTCTGTGTTGTTCTGCCCCGTCCTGCCTCCCCACCTGTGGTTCTGCCACCACAGAAACGTTCATTTGCTTTGTCTTCACCGTTCTCACATGCCCAACACATTCTGTGTATATTTTTCATCTATATATTCCACATCATGTATGTTTAAGTTATACAATGTGCAAGTCTGTCATCTTAGTGAGTCAAATTAATGCCTTTCTTGCACTGGTTTGTTTGGACAAAAGGGTGTTTCTCTTTAACGCTCCCATGAATAGCCTTAAGCACTTGCAGATTGTAATTTCAGGAGTGGTTCAGTGAAATGAACTGTCTCTCAGATAACCATTTAGCATTTGTAAATACACTCTTTTTTCTTTTTTCTTTTTTTTTCTTTCCATCTTGTAACAGCCATTTACTCACTGATACTCTGAGAAATGTCTTCTGCTCGTGGTTGTCTTCTCAAGTTCCTTCTCATTTGGGTTTACTTCATAGTAAAACTGATCCCAAAGGCCAGGGGGGAATAAGATACAACACATCTCCCTGAGACAAATCAGGTGCAAAGCTGATTCTGGGGTTAAATCATTAAATCCTACCTTCAGAAACAACAACAGTGAATTAAAAAAAAAAAGCCTAGAAGGGCCAACACAAACTTTTCCAGCAAAATAACCCATCCAAAAAGCCAAATGTCTTGTGTATTTTTCACCCCCGCCCCCATGTAATCCGTAGGAAAAGGGGATGTCGCTGTCCTAAATGCAATTAGGAATCCCCATTTCCTTCATCCTGCACCTGAAAATGCCTGCTATGAGGTGCTGCAGGGGTAACTTGAAATAGTTTAGGGAATAATTATTGGAAAGAGTTATCCTAAATTTCTTTTTAACTTTATCTGTAAGTTTTTCTTAGTTTTGTAACTGTCTCATAATATTTTGCTTATGACTTTACTTTTACACTTTCACGTTATGACTTTACTTTTTTACACTTCCACTTTTACTTCACATTTTTGTTATGACTCTATGCATGATAGCAAAGAAAATTCATAGCTGAAGAATATATTCTGTGGGTAAATGCGATTCTTTTTAAAATAGCAGCTTTCCCTTGAATGAACTGTTGCATGGTCAACACGGGAAAGCAGAGACCTGTGACTTTTTCCCTTTAAGGGGCAAAGGAGAGTTGTCACCTCGTCTCATGCCCCAAACCCCCTGGGATATGGACGGTTCACCTTGGGTCACTGCTGTGGAGTTCAGAAATGCTGAGTGTAACCCCCGTTTCTGATGAAGGCTTTTTAAGTGACCTGGGATAAGACGTGGTCTGTTCACACCTTGGTTTCTGGAAGAAGAAAGATGGCAATTTTGCCTTCATTGCAAAAATGCCAGGGAAATCCATTTATTGATGTTGAGGTGATGCTGCAATTTATGTAGGTTTTAACAGGAAGGTTGTCAGCTACCTCACATTTTGTTAATCCATAATACTTATGACATTTTTTTTTAATTACTTATTAGGAGAATCACTATTCCGTTTTTCTTCATGTGGTCTTTGTTAATGCAATGAAAGATTCTCTGCAAAATATTTTCTTCTGCTTTTTCTCTCACCATTATGAATTTTCTTTCGTTGCTTTTGGTAAACTTGAGTCATCCTTGTACTTTGTACGGTTTCACTGGAGGAAGAGATGACTAAAATAACAGACTGCATTACAAGAAGGTCTATAGTATGTAATGTTTAAAATTTGTCTAAGGTGTAACTCTGAACCAGACAATAGTATAATTTTGCTATGATCTCCGTAGAGGAGGTGGGTCCTGTAGAGTGTGAACAGTATTAACAGAAGTATGTACAAAGAGACATTTCATAGGATTACATCTGCCTTATACCCAAAGAAATCTGGATTCCAGATTTGGGTTTAAGCTCTGTTTCAGTAAGAACAGTATTGTTTCAATGAGTGAAGCTCGGTGGCACGCTCATTTACTTTTCGATGTGGCTCACATATTTTGCGAGGACCAGGCAGTCATGCGTAGTAATTCTTCACATTCCTGACATCTTTTTCATAATCCACTTTTAGGACGTTGATAACTGTGATGAATAGGGAGGAAAGAAATATTTTTCTTTTTTTTTTTTTTTTTTAATGCCTGGAATTCATCTTTAGATTCTTGTTGTAGAATCTATAGCATCAGTACTTTTTGCAGTTGTCATCCAGATGATATAAATTAAACCAATTTCAAAAACTCTTCAGTAAAGCTCTCTGTGGGTAAATGAATCCTGTGCTCATCACAAGTAACTTCTAATAATTCCATTGAGTTTTCTAGACAGTTTGTAAAATATAAAATAAAAGCCAGTAGTCAATTTCTTATAACTCTGATTAGTATATATTTTTGGAGTGAGTTTTTAACAATTTTTATAAACTTTAAAATTTTTACTTTGTGAGGGTTGGTTGGTTGGTTTGGGGTTTTTTTGGGGTTTTTTATGTGAACTGAAGTAATCATATGTTAGTTGCTAGCTATCCTTGGTGAAAGAGCCTGTAGTTGCAGTAGTTGCATCTGATCCTTCAGTTTTCTCTTGGGCATTACTGGACTTGTGTGACATTTGAAATTCAGTTGGTGTGTGAGATACACAGTTGCAAAACATGAAGGTTAAATAGGTTCTCTCTGAAACAACTCTGAATATTTTCTAAAGGTTTGTCCTCTCTCGGATTGCCTGAAGTCATCTTCATTTAGTAGGTTGGTTTGGGAAGGTAGTTGTGGTTTCATCATTTTAAGATTTAAATTTATGGTATGCTTATGGAAAGTCTCAGTACAAATCTTTTTTTCCTTTAACTGTTACATTCCATCTGTGAGAAGAGTTGGGAAAAACCACTGTGTATTTAAGAAGCTTTCCTCATTTTTGGATAACATAAAAGTCAGAGCTATTTAATTATTTCAACATGCACTCTTCTCAGAAATGGAATATTAATGCAGGATAGTTTCTATCAGGTTTGAGTTATTTTTTGAAGGTATTCCATGAACATAGCCCATAAAAGCTTATCAAGGGCCAGAGAAACCAGGAGGGGAATGGGTTATTCAGTGGTTATCATCTTTTTTACGTTTTGCAAGAATTACCTCTGCTCATGTCTTAGCTCTGCTGAACAAAGTGATGGTTTCTCTATCTTCTGTGAATGAAATTTAGGACACACTGATTGTAGAATAATCTTGGGTCCTGTTTCTATAAGGAAGAAGAGTTTCCTCTAAAAAGATCTTGTTACTTTGCAGCTGGAGGTTGTATACCTTTTCCTGCAATTTGTCCTTTCCTCTTGTGGTCGCATGCTTCTTTAGATCTTTTTAACCACTAATGCATTAGAGTTTTGTTTGAGGAACATCTTGGCACGTTTGCATGACATGACAGTAACAGCTGATACATCTTCCTCCCATCTAGAATTGAGTTTTTGCCAATTAGCAAAGTTTTGGGGAGAGAATTGATCACTTGGCGAAATAATGCTGTTGTGTGGAATAAACCTGGCAGATGAATGAAAAAATTAACATAGTCCTTCAAAAAGCAGTAGGTGGTAGACTGTGATTTCTATGAAATACAGGGGACAGATTACCCCAGTGCAGGTGCTGTGTTGCTGGTAACTACAGGTGACTGTGCTGAGCCCACCAGCAGCCTCAAAGCTACATGTTACTGATTTTTGTAGGGACCAGCACAGCCCCCACAGGGCTCTGGGAGGATTGTCAGGTGTAAGGGGAGTAAGCGTGGGGGAGCAGCCACCGTCTCTGGCTCCAGAGGCAGACTGTGAAGCTGCTGATGGCACACTTTGGTTTGTCAGACACCACCCTGGTGCAGTTATTCCAGCTTTCAGCGATATCCGGTTCTTCATCCTCCACCACGTGGATGATGCCTCGCTTTGTCATTTGAATATCTTTAGTAAAAAATTTTTTTTTTATGCTGTGATGTTTAATAAAGATACTTTTCTAGGTTTGCTGGCTTGAAGTTGGCATGCTAACCTCATGTGTCCTGTCTGCCTGCATCTCTACATTTGAGGCACTTCAGGGTGGGACTTTGCTACTTTTCCATCCTGATATAACGTTCAACACAACATGAACTGAGATTTCTGGATGATGTTTAATAGTCATTACCCTGGATGGATCCTCCCGAGGGCTTTTATTACCAAGGAAGGACCTGGGAGCAGGCCTTCTCGCCCAGGACAAGCCATTGCCTGTCTGTTAAAATCCAGCCTCATCCTTTAAACCTCAGTCTGTCCTTCCCTGTTACAAGACCGTCCAAATGGCTGCAGGAGTGAGATCCCTGTGAGACTCTCCCCAGCTCCAGCCCACACGTACCCCTCCCACCACCCCTTCCTGGGGTCCATGCTGGCCACAGCCATGATAAAGATGGCAGGGCAAGGAGCCTTGGTGCCAGGGCTTGGACACACCAGTCCATAGCCTGGCAATTGAAACATAGCTTTAGGTAAGTCATTATTTTTAAAAGCCAAGGTTGCCCTTGAGGCATTTCTGAACTGATTTGTCGCAGCAGTAGTTAGATGAGTAAGGCAGCCAGATGTTTTGAAGTCACTGGGGTTAAAGAGTGCTGGTGAACATAAGGACATACATCATATTGGTGTGGTTTGCTGATATTTTTCGTTTTCTTTTCTTCTCTAGGATGAACGTGAGGCCAGAGAAAATGTGAAGAGAGAGCAGGACGAAGCGTACCGCATATCGCTGGAGGCTGACAGAGCCAAGGTGAGTGCAGGGGGAAGTGATGGTGGGAATGTCGGGGTGGGAATCTCTCCATGGTTGGTGAGATCTCCCTGGTGCAGAGGGCTGCCTGGCTTGGGTCCTGCTGCTGAGATGAGATGGTTGCTGGAGGAGAAATAATTGCCCTCAGTGGTTATAAAATGCCACTAGATACTGTCCCTGGGAGTAGACTTTGCACCTTTTTGCTAAAGCAGTCCTGGCCCCACTTAATAATAGAATGACAGAAAAACGTCACTAAATAAATACCCTATTTCTTGTATTAGTTTCTACAGAAAAATTGAGAAGTTTCCTTGCTTTTATATAGCTCGTGCATGTCATTAGACACAGCTGTGGAAAGTGGGGTGATACATGTGTGATTGCTGTTTGTGTTTACTAGAGGGAAGCACAAGAGAGAGAAATGGCAGAGCAGTTCCGCTTGGAGCAGATTCGGAAAGAACAGGAGGAAGAACGTGAGGTGGGATGTTTTACCTTTTCCAACAACATTTTGGATTCATGAAGCTTATGGACATTGCAACTTTCATTCAACACACATTGCACCTTTCATTCAAAGTATACTTCTTATGTGAACGTCAACTTTTTATTTAATTATTTTCTTACCATATATATAATATATAGTGCAGCTAAATTGTTTTTATACACTGTTTAATAGCTTTTCTGATCTATCATCTGGGTCACAATTACATCATCGGGGTCTGAATTACAGCCAGATATTAGGTAGGACATCCATGAAATGAGTGCCATAAATGGTGGACTCTTTGGGAACCTCTAACCTTGTTTCTGCAGGCCCTCCTTTTAAAAATATAATTCCTTGGAGCCCTTTTGTTTCTTCCAGGAAGTAGCACAAGGCCTAGCTGTAATTCTGATCAAACAGTTAATTAAGAGACAAAACACCTTAAAAAAAAATAATTAAGGCAAAAAAAAAAATCCAAAACCTAGAAAATTGCATTTATGGTACATTTTTAAATTTTGAAACAGTCTTCTCCAGAATCTTCCTTAGAATAAAAATTGTGTTGAAATGAACGCTTTAAGTCTAGGTCTCAAAAAGAAAATAGAAACTATGTGCTGTGAAGAGTACTGTTCCTCAAACTTTCTTATTTTGGAGATTCTCTTAATCTTGTAGATTGTGAGGGCCCCAGCACTTGTCAGAGACAGCTCCTGCAGCCTCTTTCAGGATCTAGTGTAGCTCTGTCCTGGCTCTGTGTCCATGTAGGTGTTTACATAAAGCATCATGTACATGAATTTACTTACATTAGAGACTTCCTCTTTTTCACCTCCTGGCAAATACAAAATGTGGTAAAAAGGCTGGGGTGCAGCCATGTTTTTCCCCTGAAGTCCCACCACATTTCAAAGGATAGGTAAAAAAGACTAGTCATTAAAATTATTTCCAATATTTCTTCAAATATAAGTCCTTACAGAACTGCTGTGAAACACAGCTGGTACTTCAAAAGGACTTTGTGAAAGCCCTTGATTAAAATTTTCAAAATAAAAGTGATATTCACATATAAATGTCTTGACTGAAATCAGAATTGATTGGAGGTTGTCCTTTGACTCCTAGGCATATAAGATTCTGTGAGCAAGTTGCTAATGAATACAAAGCTGTATCAGCAACCCTACTGAGTATCTGTCCTGAGTATGTTTCCAGTATTATATCAACTATAAATAAAACATAAATATTACAAATATTTATTCATTTATATAAAATATCGGAGTTTCAATATTTTTGATGGACTTAATGTAACTACTTTGCTTTGACTGTCATGGATCGTGGAGATCTGAAATTTGGAATTATATCCTCATTTAATTCTCCACTTTAACTAAAGTCCTTGGAGCTCATGGAATCCTGATAAATCACAGCCTTGCTTATTCTCCCCTTACATGTGACTTAAATGTATACTTGACATTTCAGTCTTGTGTACTTTGCTGATGTATGAAAAAATTGCATTATACAACTGCAAAAAAAGTTGGCTATGAACACATTTATTATTCCCTGAGAGAAACCCCATAAACAAACTGTATGAGCAATGCATTTGCACATATATATTTTCACCAAGGTAATTGCATTAAATAACCTGAACCATTTAAGCATTCAAGAATCTTTTAAACAGTACTGCGTTGTAAATATTAAATTCAGTCCAAACAGTAGTATTCCTTGGTTTGGGAAGGATGCAGTCCACTGCTTCTTTCTTATTCTGCAGTATCTGATGACTTATTTAGCTCCAGTTGTTAACATGAGCCAAGAATGGAAGCTAAAACACAACTGAAGGACCACGAAAGTGCACGAAACTGGACTGAGAATTGTGTCAAGAAGAGTTGAAAGAGGGCAATTCATTGAGGTTAATGTAATTGAACTAAATCAGTTCTGTAGCAGTAACAGGCTATTGAGCAATCGGCTCAGATTCAAGTAAGAAGTATGTTTTCCTTTTTTAAAGTAATATTGCATGCATAGAAACAATAATTCATGCTGCTTTATTATATCCACTCCTGAACCTTTTCTGATACCTTGGCCTTTTGGAAATCATTTTCTTAGGCAAAGGCTGCAAGATCGGTCCATGTTATCAAAATATACCTGAGCTTCCCTGTTTTAATGTAGAGTGCAGTAATGACAATAGGATCTGTTTGCTTAGCAGAACAAAAGGGATTTTAACAATAATGTTTACTAACACTCCCCATTTTCAAGTATACGGATTACTCCTACTGAAAATTGTTCTGCAACAGTGTTTGCTTACAGAGGCGGCTTTATGTTCCATTCGTATATTTAAAATCTGACTATTGAGCAATCCACGTACTGAACATCTTTTTATCAACAAACTGAAATTGCTTGTTCAGGTCCAAGAGTTATTAACATGATCCATCACATCATTGTTTTCTGACTTGGTTTGCTGGTACAGAATATCCGTTGCAAATTGCCATTTTATGTTGGAGCCTTGGAGACGAGTTACTTTGGGGAGCGACGCGCTCTTTGCACAAAGAGAAGAGCTCTAATGAGCTACTGTTGTTTATTTTTCTATAATATAATTGATTGGGTTCAGTAAATAATGTAGCATCTGTTGTTATACTGTGTGGGGAAATGTCAAAACAGAAAGATAGTAAGCAGGTGGTTGAGAATGGAGAGAGAGAGAAAATTAAAATAGAATCTATTTAAAATATAATCTCATAGTAGATGAGCGAAAATGAACTCAAGTTCTATGTATAAATATTTATACTGAGATATAATTTGCTCAGAGGTTCGTGTGTAAGAAGTAGACTATTTAAAAGCCTTCGTAATCTTGCTTCTGCCCAGTCCTTTCTCTTCAGTGTAATCACCCTCCATCAGTTTCTGTAACTAAATGACCTTGGGGAGGTTTTCAAAGACACAAATAGCAACTGTGTATCTTGAAAGTTCCTTGAAAATCCAGGTAAATCCCATGCCCGACTGCCTCTTCAGTTTGGAAAACTGTCTTTTTAGGCATATTTTGTGGAGGCAGCGTGATAATGCTGCTGCTTCCACTCATGGACATTCTCATTAACTGCTGCCTTAAGTGAGGTGATGGTCTGACGAGGCTGCTTTCTAAGCATGATCCAGTTTTTAACCAGTGCCTGTCCATGAGCCCCTGCAGCGCTCAGTACCCTCAAAAATCAAGCCCACCTCATTCCGTGGTCTAGTAATGGGCATCAATTTTTAAAGAAACCTTTTGATCAAAGTATGAGTGTTGTAGTAGCTCCCGGAGGCAGAGGATGGAGAACACAGACCTGGCTCCTGCCATTGAAATCCTGACCCCAGCAGCACACGCAACGTTAGCAGGAAGACCATCATACACATTTTCAGATATGTAGTATCATTGCAATTTTGGGGCTGATTTCATGCAAGTTGGTACAGAAAGTGTCCATGCCTGCGCTTGGGACCATCTTCCCGATTATGATAATTATAATAGCTTTAAATCTTCAAGCTCCCATTTCTGTTCTCTCAGTTTTCTTCTTTGACCATTCCCACTACTCTATGTATCTAATGTACTTTCATGATGCCGTTCCTACTTTTATACCTACTCTATGTATCTAATGTACTTTCATGATGTTGTTAATTACGTTTTTTAACAATGTTTTAGATTATTTACAGTAAACCTCCTGCATATATTTCTTTTTACTCTGAACTGCCACTAAAGGTCTTGTCTTTGCTGCAAATGGTCAATTACTCTGTGCAAGAGGAAGGCAATTTGATAAGTGCATTTGAAGAAATACTTTTACTGCTTTTTAATTTATACCGTTTAAAAAAGCAATTGATTTTTAATTACATCTTTTAACAATGTTTTAGATTATTTATAGTAAACCTCCTGCATATATTTCTTTTTACTCTGAACTGCCACTAAAGGTCTTGTCTTTGCTGCAAATGGTCAATTACTCTGTGCAAGAGGAAGGCAATTTGATGAGTGCATTTGAAGAAATACTTTTACTGCCTTTTAATTTATACCGTTTAAAAAAGCAATTGGCCACCTGACAATTAATCTCTCATTCAAATTTTTTCCAAGGCTTTCTGCCAAATGATTAAATTACTTATCCCCATCGTGCATTAACTGTAGACCTAATAATATGTGTTATAAAGAAGGATTTATTTTAATTACTTGTCTGGTGGGCTGTTATTAAGAAATGAAGAAAACTTATTTTGTCATTGAGATATAAAGCAGAGCTACGGCTCTGGAGCACTGTGCTGCTCTCCAAGTTCTAGACGAAATAAAAAGCAAAGCTTTCCGTCCTTTTCTTCTGTTGCCAGCCTTGCAACCTAAATGGTTATTTTTCCTTCCTCAGGCTATCAGGCTCTCTCTTGAGCAGTCTTTGCCCCCCGAGCCGAAGGAGGAGAGCACCGAGTCCGTCAGTAAACTGCGCATCCGGACGCCCAGCGGAGAGTTCTTTGAGCGGCGTTTCCTGGCCAGCAGCAAACTGCAGGTCGTCTTTGATTTTGTAGCTTCCAAGGGGTATCCTTGGGAGGAGTACAAGCTGCTGGGCACCTTTCCGAGGAGAGATGTGAGTAAACGTATACTTTCCAGGAATAAATATCACTAGTTCTTACTCTTGCGTGTTAGATGCACAGTGTGCTATAGCGTAGAAGGTAAAAGACATGCCTGAGTAGGTTAGTGCTGCCAAGCTCTGTGGCCATCAGCAAGCCAGGTGCTGACCTACCAATGCTGTCTTATGTTACGTGCAAAATTGTGTTGCAAAACCTGTTTCCAGTGCCATTATAAAAGTCTTCTGATTCTGAAATGAGCTGTGGGCCATGTTCAATGCAAACTGCCCGAGGGTGCTGAGCCAGCAGCACCCACCTCCTGTTTTGAAGGAAGCCGTGTCGGTATTAGTGTGGTGTTTAGGTCTGTTCTGGGCTGGGACTCCTGAGCTTTCTGGTTTTGCCATTTAGATGCAATGGTATGTTACAAGCAAGGAAGGCTCAGTGTCAGACAGTGTACAGTTATGAGCTAATCAGTACATTCTAATGAATTATTCATCTGCCTATTACATAATACCAGTAAATAATCGTTTATATCTCCTACCTCGAAATTCTAATGATGTTCCTGCTGCGACCGATTTTCAAAATCCATACTGCTTACAAAAGCCAATTAAATTCCATTGATTTATCAACAGATATTTATGTGCTGGTTACTAAGTTTCTTTGAAAATATACCTATGTGTTTTCTGCTGTATTAGAAATTGACTTTCATTTCTCATCTGGCCGTTGTTACACCAAAGGTAGAAGTTGGACCCAGTAGGTCCAACCGTGCAGTCGTGCCCCTCATGACAGGCGAAGGTACTGGCCACTGCAGAGGTGACAGCTCAGAGCCAAGCAGTGATGGGTGAAGCTCAGCAGGATTTTGGCCATGGTGCCTGAGCACTGCACACGACGGGGGGCAGCTCTGGGTTGTGTTTGCTGGGGGCATCTCCAGGTGACTGGTTAAGCCATTTTTCATCCATGTTGCTCAGTAACTTGGGTTGCTTTTCTGGTTTGTTTCCCATCGCTGCCCCTGGAGGATGTTCATGAGGAATAAGGCTCTATCAGCGAGTTTACAGAACTGCTTTGGAACAGATACCTCTTGCTTTATCACCTTATTTCTAAGGGGAAGCAAATAATGTCCATAGCACACATACGGCCTTGAGAGTGGGTGTGATTTCTGACCAATCTTTGGCATAAATCAGTGAACAGGATTGTGGTTTTCCCAGCTTTTCTTCCACCTTGTCTTATGTGGAGAATCCTAATCAGTTAGACTGAAAAGCAGCATTTAAGGAATCTCATTAGTCACTAATTAACTTCACTCCTTAAGCATATAATATCATTTCCAGTGGAACCAAAGACTAGAAGTCATCTGCGTTTCCAGGAATACTGATCATTCAGTTTACTTGACAGAATAAAAATAGTCTTTTACAGCCTAAACAATGTTTTCATGTATTATATATATTCTGCAAGTCATACCTCCCTATTTGTAACATATTTATGTCTTGGTACATATTTCATACAAAAAAATCCTACAAGTATATTACTCTAACTTGTTACATTTGTTTTGCACTTTAGACTGGCTGTTCCTGTACCTAACCACATCATCATAATTATTAATTTTAGTCCTCTGTAACAAACTCAAAAATTGATCAGATGACTCTCATAAGAGCAAATCAAAAAAGGAGCAGAATAAAAAAAAAAGACCACTAAACTAGAACAGGCTGGTATTTTCAGTACATTTGTGACACCGCCAGGGAGAAAATGCTGCGGCGAAGGAAGGAGAATTTAATGGCAGGATACGGAGCCGTAGGTCTGTTGCATGAGAAGCAAAGACCCTGTCCTCTTTTTTTCTGTGATTCCAACCTAATAAAGCCATGTATGAGGAGTCACATAAATGATTCATGCCGATTGACTCAGTGGCTGTGTATGAATCCGGTTGCCATTGTGACCACCAGAGCTACAACAGACAAAAAATAATCCCCAGGGGTTTGCTAACCAGTGAGAACTGTAAATGACATCTGCCACGGTGCCCAGGTTTGGAAAGGCAGAAATGTGCAACTCCATACACAGATTTAAAAAAAAATAAAATTAAATTTAAAAGTAATTGATGGATGCCTTGGAAGTACGGTAAAAATAAATATTCATTGACTTAGGCTTCATGGCCTATAAGTCTCTTAAAAATACACTAAGTTTTCAAGACCTTTGTGGTATGTGATGTGTATCACAAACATCCACTGAAATCTGCACAACAAGATCAAAGCACTTAAAATGCATGTGCTCCAGAAAATACTAGTTTTTAAAATGTCTGTTTGTGTTTAAACTATACACAATGATTTTGGAAAAAATTACTTTGCTGGAATTTTTGCTGCAATCAGATGAAAACATGTCTTCTCAAGTTAGTATTTTTTTCTTCAGTTCTAATCTCTATTACAATAACATACACACCCCTAAAAGTGAATTATCAAAATGAGGGGATTATCATCAACCAAATCTGCATTTTCTTGTAATAAATTTGTCACAGCATTTTTACCTGCTTTTCAAAGCCATCAGTCCCGCTACAGTGTCGTTGAAGTATTTTTACTACTTTGGTAAATACAAATTCATTAGTTCTTAGTTCTATGTTCCAGTTGCTTACACAGATATCCTTAGCTAACTTAAAGTTGGTATCATAACCCTACTGTAAATACAAACTTCTACACATGAGTAAATACACAGATTAACCTTTTCCAGACACTACTTGTAGATTTTAAAGCAGCAGTGACATTCCAAAGCAGTTAAGCACATGCAGTGACTTGTTATTGGGTCTTTGTCACCGACTGTGTTGTTCTTTCTTCTGGCGCTGAAATTAGATATTAACCACCTCCTGTCCCCGTACCTTTCCCAGTGAAACTGTCCCCACCAGTGTGTGTCACAGGGCTCAGCCTGGGACAGCAGGTAGCTTGTACCTCTAGCTGTGAAACCGTTTGGCAAGCACATCTTCCGGAGTGAAAAACTGCATTATAAGTTCTTTGCATTATTCTTAGATGCACCTGCAAAGACTTTATGGAAGCAGATGTGTGTGCCACTTAAATGTAAGTGCTGATTTTAGAATTATGGTTCCTTTTCTTCCAAGAATTGCTCTAATCTTCAAAATGCATTTAACTATAACAAAAAGAGCTTGCCCTAAGCATATTAGCATGCTCAGTCAACCTTCTCATTCACTGCTTCTAAGACCCCTTCTCTTAAAAGCCTTCCCAGACACTAATTTCAGTAGTCCTCTCGCTCTGCCAGCTGCAAGATCCACCTTCTCCCTGGACACTTCCCAGAGGATCAGTTCCTCACTTCCTTCTGCAGTGGAGATCTGCAGAAGGCTTCCTGAAACCCTTTCACATCTTACGGCCTGGGCATTTCACCACACTTCAGGCCAGAAGCTGAAGGGGTCTGACCAGGTCTTCCTGAAACTATAGGAGGAATGTGCAGAACAAACTTACCCAAAGGGGGCTTCAGCCACCCTCTGGGGTTAATGATACGTCTGTGAGCATTTTATGGTATCTGTCAGAAAGGGAGGTCCTCTCTTTTGAAAGACTATTTTTAAAAGACTGAATTTACCAATTTCTCCTGAAAAACCAAAACTGCAATCTACAATTTCGTCTGCTCATTATTTCTCCTTCAGGTGGAGCATTAGTTATGTATTTGAGAGTATGCCTTTTGCAGACACGGAATTAGAGACTTAAGCTCTTTATTTACTGTATCTGGAAGCCCTGGTAAGCCAAGACTTCTACAGTATTTCACATTTCATTTTTCTGAGCCACAGCTTAGGATCAGGTGGCAGTTAAGTCACTTAAGGTTATTTAAATGCATCTAAAATGTTGCTTAATAATTCAGAACCAGTTTGCTCTGTTTAGGGTATTAAGATTTTTTAAATCCTTTTAATTAACCAATTTCAACAGCAGTTTAAATAAACAGAAACAAAAAATCTGTCTCCCTTGAAAGGGCAGAAAATAAATTTAACTCAAATTGCATGTCGATTTAAATTAGGTATGATCAGGATTTCAATAAATTTAGGGCCAGACAGTTCTTAATATTATATGGAAGTATAGAGTAAGGTATTCCTCCAAACCCAAATGTGATCATTCGCTCCTGGCAGCAGTAATCCTCTTTGCCCGCAGTGGTGAAAACAGCCCCACAGGACAGTAAGTTTAGCTGCAGCACTCGGGACACGAACTCATCCGAGCAGGGAACTGTCCTCTGATGTTCTCAGAAAGGTAATGTCAGAACACGATCCCTATATTGCTATGCCAGATAGTTTGGCAATTTTTTACATCAGTTCTAGAAGCCGTCATTTGTAAGGATTATTCTGCATTTCACCCAGTGCAAATGACTTCCTTCAAATAACCTACTTTTAAACGCATTAGGTGGTGTCTAAACTCTTTAAATGGGAGAGTTCTATGTCCGGCACCATCTCTGGCTTTTAACAGTCTTTCCCCTTATCATCATCTTGATAGAAAGATGGAAGGAATATGTTACCGTGAGAAAGGGTTCACGCAGTGCCATGGTTATACCCAGTAGCACTTTTGGTAATTTCACTTAAATCAGGAATGTGCCTTGAATACCTGCCTTATGGAAAAAGGAGGGTTTCAGATTAATTAAATATTTTTCTGATATGTTAAAAAAATTTGACAATGTTTTTGTAATTTCAGGGAAAATGTAATGTGATCCACGTAGTTTTCCAGTTTATCAGTTACTGATATTTATATTTCCTGCTACATGAAGCAGTATTATCACCTGTTTTAATGCACATAATTTAAAATTTTTCAGGTCAGGTGGTGGCATGTGTTTATCAGCTCTGAGCTAGTTTACACAAGGCCACAACCACCTACAAAGGTAGACATCCCTCCTTTTGTCATTTACAGCTGCCTTTAAGTCAATAGTACCTGCCCTTGTCTTACCTCTCTTTTCAGGATACGTTGTTACTTTATTTATTCAAGCAGTTCTGTTTAGTTTGGTTAAGACACTGAGAAGTTGCTTAAGCAAATTGGCCATACCAGCCTAGCATATTCCC